GGTCCCAACAAGAACTGGGGGAACCCAGCGCCCACCTCGGCCCCCTGCGGCTGCTCCTGGCTTGGCCCAGTTCGTCACCAGAGCCAAGCACGTCGCCGGAGCCGGGCACGCCACTGCTGCGCCGCCCCTCGGCCCCCGTGGTCAGAGGGGAGAGGAGGGACTCGGGTGAGTGCGAGCACCCCCTGGGGCACCCGCTGCCCTGAACCAGGGGATGCCCTGAGCCCCCCTGCACAGCCCCCCTGGCATGGGGGAGACGCTGTTTTCTGGTCGCCCTCACGGCCCCGCACTGCTATGTCTCCTGCAGGGCTGGCTCTCCCGGCGCCCGGCCCCACGCTGGCCATGGTGGCCATGGGCTCCATCCTGGCTGCCGTGGGCATGCTGGGCTGCTACTGCTCCGTGAGGCGCGGGCGCCAGGAGGGTGCTCCCGATGAGCTCCATGGCATGGCCATGGCACCCACCACATCTGGCCCTGGGAACGCTGAGCCGGGGGCGCCTGCTGCTCCCGGAAACCCCAGCATGGTGTGAGCCTCCCGTTTTAGCAATAAACCAGTGGAACGAAGGACGTGTCCGGCTGTGTGCATGAAGGGGTGGTGGGCGAGCAGGGAGGAAGGGAGGGGGGTGAAGCATGATCCCAAGGGGCTTCCCTGGTTCCCAGTGTCCCTGCGCATGGGTGGGAACTAAGCTGGTTTGTACCTGTCTTAATGCCGCTCTGTCTGGGTTATTTGCAACACCACCCCTTCCCGAACGCCGTGCATGGCTGCAGCCCCTCATCCTGAAGGGAAGGGTGGCTGGGGAAGAGGCCCAGGGAAGGATGGAGGGAGTGCTGGGAGCTGCTTGCAGGGCTGCAGGTGGGCTGGGAAGCTGCAAGAGGGGGACAAGCGGAGCAGCTGGAGAGGGCTGATGTCTGGTGTGGGAGCTCCTGGGTTGTCTTGGCATGTGGCTCTGTCGGATGCCTCCAACGCGGTCCTGGGGCTATTCATAAAAAACCTCTTTCCTCCCTCCCCTTCTCCTCGGGGCTGGGCCACCAGCTGCAAGGGCAGCTCTGCTGCTGGTGCCACGTGTTGCCTTGCTTTATCAGCATCTTGCTGCAGGGCTGTGGGTGCAGTGTTGCCTCTGGGGCAATATCGCCTGGCCCTGGTTGGTGTGCTGCTGTTTAATTGTTCACTTCTTTTATTTGTTTTCTCCCTGGCTGGAGCACTTGACTTGATAACACCAAACCCAGATAATGCACCAAGTGCTACGGGGCCAAGAGCAGAGCCTGGGTGAGGGCAGTGGAGCTGCCCCAGTGGCAGCAGCTGGGGGACTGCTTCGCCCAAGGGAGCTTGGCTGAGAGGAGAACAGGTCATTGCCTATAAACACACTGGTGCAGTGCGACATCGGAGGGGGGAACGTTTTTCTTCCTCTTGTATTTCAGAGGTTTTGTATCTCCCCCTGCCAAAGGAAGGGTCCTGGGCTGGACCAAGGACCTCCAAGGAAAGGTTTGCTTTTTAACAGAGGGAAAAGGTTGGCTTTTAATGGCAAAAAAAGACAGACAAGACCAGAAGCATCCCAAGGAAGTGCCTTTTCTCCAAGGCCACATCCTTTAGCCACCCCAGCTGGCCTTGGCAAACACTGCAGCTGCTCAAACCAGAGTTAATAATTCAGCACCCGTTTCTGGCTCAGCTCCTTTTTCTGTTTAACCATAATGAGGAGGAAATAGCAGAGACCAAGGTGGGGTTCATCTCTGCTAGCTTCCCATGGCCCAGCTGGAAATTGCTTCCCTCTGTACCTAGCAGACCTATTTGTCTCCCTGGGGTGCGATTCAGCCAGTGTTTGGTGATGGCAGTGAATCCCCTCAGCCCGTATCCATTTCTTCCCACTTACTATTGAGGACGTGCAAGCAACTGCCTAGGAGTTAGAGCTCTCTGCTGAAAGGCAGGTGGCACTGCTGTGGCAGTGGGACGCACACCCTGCTGCTTGCAGGGTTTCTCTCCCCAGCTATTTTTGCACAAGGGTGTTTCTGCACGTGGGACAAGAGGGGTGAGGGGGCTCCTGTGCACAGCTGTGCTTGGACTTGCTAGCGGCATGTCTGTCTCCTGGTTTGCTGGGTCCCCTCTGCCACAGAGGGAGCAGCTCCTGTGCAGGCAGAGTACCTGCTTGTTTACCCCCTGCCAGGCTCCTTTGCTTGCTCCTTATTTGATTCTAGGAAGCAAAGCTTTCATTTCTGCTTTTCTCAGAAAACACGTGACCTACCTCCCAGCACAGCCCCGGCTGGCAGTGGGGGGATCTCCCTGCGCTTGCTTTCAGCCCCTTTTTGGTCCCATCCCCTGGATCAGTCCCTGTTCTGGCAGCTTGGCTCCCACCACGCGCCCTGCTTTTGCAGGCCCCAGAGCAGAGGTGAGGGTGAGACAGCCTGTTTGCAGCTTGGATGCCGCTCACCACCTACCCAGTCACCCCTTGGAGTGGCCCACAGCCAGCCCAGGCTGGGCGCACCGCGTCGGCCAAGTGCTGGGTAATGGGGGTAAGTCATGGCGGGCCAGATGCCTTCCCCCGGCATTGCTAGCCCCTGTAGGCAACCCATATCCTTTAAGGGGCTGCTCATGTGCCTCTTAGCCCAGCATGGAAGGCTTTGGCCAGGCCTGAGGCTTATGGCTGTTGTGGTTGTGCTCATCCCCTTTGGGTGTTTCCTTCCATGCAGGTGGTACAGTTCTTCATCGGGCTCGTGCTCCTCGGGCTTGGTGGCACCTTGTTCTTTGCTTCCAGCAACTACAACTTATGCATTGCCTACTGGTACCCGCTCTGGGGGGCTGCGCTGGTAAGTAGGAAACTGGGAAGGCTTTGCTGGAGGAACTGGGGAGGCAAGACTTTGGCACATATTCTTCTCTTCCTTCCAGTATGTCATCTCTGGCTATTACAACTCTTCCATTGCTACAGATTCTTCAAGATGTCTGGTGAGTGGGAGAGGGGTGGAGGTCTCTGCCTGCTCCAGTAACCCCAGGGCAGTGGCTGTTCCCCTCCCCAAAGGGCCCCTCTGAGTCCCAGCTGGGGCCCCTCAGAGGTGGGAAGAGGTTAGAGCTGCATGACAAGGCCAGAGCCTAGACTAACTCCGGCTCGGTCTCAACCAAACTGCTAGTGTTGGCATGGCTAACCCTGCCTCTGCCCCTCTAGGTGTCCTGCAGTGCTGTTTCCAGCTGCCTCAGCTTCTTTGCCTCACTGATAGGAACTGTGCTTCTGGCCCGGGACCTGGTGAAGGTTTCCTTCCTCTACCCGCTCCCAGGCAGCTCTACGGTGTTCCTGTACTGCGAGAGGAGCCACCTCCTGGCTGAGCACTGTCGCAGGTTCCTGACCTATGAGCTGGTGAGCTGGCGCGTGCTGGCAGGATGGGCAGGGGAGCCAGTGTGCAGGTGCAGACAACACTGGGGCCAAGCTAGTGATGCAGTCCCCTGTTGTCCCCACTGAGAGCGGGGCTGGCAGCATTTGGGCTCCCCAGGATTGCTTAACCCCCTACCCCGGGACAGGCTGGGGGCTGACCTGCTGAGAGCAGCTCTGCAGAGAAGGACCTGGGAGTTAACAAGTTGACCATGAGTCAGCAATGTGCCCTTGTGGCCAAGAAGGCCAATGGCATCCTGGGCTGCATTAGGCAGGGCATTGTCAGGGAGGTGATCCTGCCCTTCTACTCAGCCCTGGTAAGGCCATGTCTGGGGTGCTGTGTGCTGTTCTGGACTCCCTAATACAAGAGAGACACGGAGCTCCTGGAGTGAGTCCAGCAAAGGGCTCCTAAGATGATGAAGGGACTGGGGCATCTCTCATCTGAGGAAAGGCTGGGAGAGCTGGGCCTGTTCAGCCTGGAGAGAAGACAGAGAGAGGATCTGATAAGTATCTGAGTATAAGTGTATAAGTATCTGAGGGAAGGGCGTCAAGAGGATGGGGCCAGACTCTTCAGCAGTGTTCAGTGATAGGATGAGAGGCAACGGGCGCAAACTGAAACACAGGAAGGTCTGTCTGAACATAATGAAAAATTTTTTCCTGTGAGGGTGACTGAGCACTGGAGCAGGTTGCCCAGAAAGGTTGTGGCATCTCCATCCTTGGAGATGATCAAAAGCCATCTGGATGTGGTCCTGGGTGACCTGCTGTAGGTGACCCAGCTTGAGCAGGGGGTTGGACTAGAGGAACTCCAGAGGTCCCTGCCAAGCTCAACTGTTCTGTGACTGTCTCCTTCCTGTCGTCTTTGCACAGGGGTTGCTGTTGCTGATGATTATCTTCACTGTTTTTGAGATGACTATCTCTTCCATCATGTTCAGCTACAGCCTGGTAAGGATGCCTGCTCTGTCCCTAGCAGCTAGAGGCAGCACCCATCGGGGGGAGAGGAGGGCTGTGTGTGTGTGTGTGTGGCGGCAAGGGGGGCAGCAGGGACTAACATCCTCCTGGCTCTCGATGCAGAAAGACAGAAGCTTGGACCATCAGCCCACGCAGCAGGCTTTCCCATTGCTGGAAGCTTGGCCTCAGCAAGATGTGGCTGGGACCAGTCCCTTTCAGCTGTCCTATGGGCTCCCGCCACCATACACCAAAGAAAACTTCCCCTCAGAGCACCAGGACGTTTGATTTCCCCGGTGTTTTCAGGAGCATGCTGGAATGCAGATGAACCCTTTCTGCTCACCTCAATACCTGCAACACCTGATGAGGATGAATGTGGCTCCTCCTGGCTCTCAAGGATAGAGATCGGGTGGGCATTGGTGACCCACCACCTGCTTTTGCGTTAGCCTCTTCTCTGGGGGGTTGCAAACCTGAGCCAATGGGGGAAGAAGGGACCTGAAAACACAGGGTTTTCTCACGTGTGTCCTGAGTCCTGGAAGCCACTGGGATAGGAGGCAGTGAATTGAAAGGGAGGTACCACGCTCATGAGCCAGAGGATGGAGCACAATCATGCTGGATGTAGCGCCCTTCTTGCCTGCCTGATGCTGTTCCCACTACTTGCATAGTTTTCCTCTTGGGCTGCAAATTTTCTGAGCTTGGTCCTACTGCTATCTCTGCATGAACTCTGTGGAACACCTGAGAGTGTGGAAATTTTTTTTCCCCCCCTATCTTAAACTGTGGTGCTCTCTTGAGTAGATGTGTCCTTGCCTGGCTGGGCAGGAACGCCCTCAAAGAAATAGCTCCCCTGGGCTGGCTCCCCAACAGCAGGCCTGGCAGCCTTGGGCTGGAGCTTGAGCTCGGCTGGTGCAATGTGACTGCTAGACTCATTTGGTCTGGTTCCCAATCCCTCCCCTTGCCCTCCAAGCTGCAGAGACCTGATAAGATAAAGAGAAGTTAAAGGAGGAGAGGTGGGTGGGCATCGGTGCTGCTGTGGGCTCCTGGCACTAGTCCCTGGGGCTGGGCAGGATCTGCTCTGACTCCCATGTGGGAGCTTCCCCAGCTTTGCCCCAGTAGCCTCTTCCCAGCTTGCCTATGCCAGGGTAAGGAGCAGGGTTGCTGCCAGTAGCACTTGAGTGTGCTGGGTAGCAGGACTGATAAAGCTGTAAGACAGCTCTGTGGCACCACCAGGGAAATTTGGACCCTCTCCCTGGCCAAAAAGCCCCAAATCCTAGGATCCAAGGGGAAGCTGCACCCTCCCCCAGCCCCAAATGCTGCCCGCCGGGCTGGCGAAGGAGCTGAGTGGCTGGAGCTGCTCTCTGCAGCCTCCCCCTGCCTCACCAAGTGCTGCGAGCTCCTCAGGGAAGACTTATTTCTGTGCCTAATGGCTTTGATGGATCTTTCTTCCAGGAACTTGCTGTGGTGCTTTGCTCTCCCGCCCCTGCTTCTTTTGAGCCCCTGTAAACATTTTATCTTGCTGGGCCAGTTTCAAGGGGAGGTGGGGACAGTTCTCGGCTAGACTTAGCTCAGCCAAGGGAGGTGCCCCCCATCCCTAGGGCTGTGGGTCGCTGCCTTCTCCGCTCCCCAGGGCGTTTCACAGGGGAGGTGGAGAGCCCTGGAGCAGGGGGTATTTCTCAGAGCACCTGAGCAGTGGGGCCGGATGGGGGTCAAGGGGCACCAGCCGGCAGCTCTCTGACCCCTGCCCCAGCCCCCTTCCCCAGCTTGCCCCCATCGCTCGGTTCTTGCCCTTAGGCAGCATCTCAGCTGTGTACATCACGGCTGCCCAGCCGTGAGGTCCCCAGTGGGGGGGGGAGGGGCTTAGTGGGGCTTTCTGTGCTGTCCTGCTCCCCTGGTTCCCTCATCGCCCTGGCCTGCTGCCTGCCCCCAGGCAGCCCCAGGTGTGCTGGGGGGTGAGGTCTGAGCTGCGTTCCCCTTTTCGGCCGGTCTCTGAGACCACCTGTGGCTGGGAGCAGTGGGACTGTGGTACGTCGTGTCCCTGGTTCCCCCTCCCCAGTGTTATGTCCACTCTTTTGGGGGGCTGGATGGGTTTGCAGGGATGCTCTGGGGACCACCGCTCCATGTCCAGCCTCCCAGCTCCATCGGAGGCAGGCAGCAAGCCCGG